GAATTGATATTATAAAACTGGTATCGAAAAAAGTATCGTTCAGGAACCGGTATCGAAGTATAGGTATCGGTATTGGTACTGGAACCGAAAATTTTTGAACAATACCCAGCCCTATACAGGCATGGACATTTTTAGTCAGCATTTCTTCATTAAATCAAGAAAATCTGGTCATTATGCAGGAGTAAATTTATGTTCCACAAGCATCCACAAAGCGGAAAGGAATCACATCAGGTAACTTTGACTTAAGCAGTTTCTCAATTCACTAGAATGCGAATATGGACTTGTGTCCTCGCCTCCTATGTTCTTGAGAAGAACACAAAGTATGGGGAGAGCGGGAGCACGCAGCATAAATATGGGTCAATTGGAACAATTTAACTGAGAACAATACTGTGAGGTAGACATGTAACAAACTAAACTGTTTTAACTAATTGAAAATTAAAAGGGTGGCACTAAGACAGTTTCAGGCTGCCTTTTTAAACAGTTTACAAGAAAAAGTCAAAGCTTGATCAGCAACATAAAGACAGCCTGTTTAAGGCCTTATTTATTTAGCTTATCTGTAAAAGAGTATTTATTAGGGATTTAGTTACTGTGTAAGCTAGGTTCATCCATTCTGCATCATGACCTCATACAGCCAAACAGCCAATCATTATGAAGACCCACCACGCTTTAATGGAGGTACAGGGAAGCAGTTCCTTCTCCAGAGCCATTAATCTCCCCATGAGGGGCAGCAGGACATATCAGCGGTTCTTTGATCACATTATTTGATCAGCCTCACTTATAACCAAATTGAGCCTGGAGGCTCGTTCACTTTACTGTGCAGATATTTTTATATCTATAGGAAACATATTCCAGGACTTGGAAACTTTTCTTATGCTCTTTTGTACTATATACACTCCTTTCATATTGTCTGCTGTATTTTTATCTGTAATGGCATCTTGTTTTAACTCTGCCCTTTGAACCAGAATTTTGCTGAGGGAGTAATACCAAGGGATAAATAAAGGGCCGCAACTAACGATTATTTAGCAAATAGATTAATCTGTGGATTATTTTTTTTTATTAATAATCAGATAGCCAAAAGGTTCCATAAAGAAGATTTGTTACGAAATTAAATCAGGAAAAACGAAAATGTTTCCACCAGATGAGTTCTGGATAGAGCAGACTGACAGACGAACATTTTTTAAATCTTAAATTCTAAATGTTTATATATTTTTTACAATCTTGGTATAATTACTGCTCTAAATTGGTCACTTTAGAGGAAGCCATCTGCTCTATACTCCAGTTAACGATTAATTGATTACTAAATAGTTGACGATTTTAATAATTGATTAATCCGATTAATTGTTTCAGCTCTAATTCACTCCTTTTCCATTGAAAGGAACCCGTTTGGGCATGATAGAGGAACCTAACACTGGACCTCTTTTTGACACTTAAACATGTTTGGCGTGGACGCAGCATGAGTCTAAAAACATGAGCTGAACACGCAGAGGATGAGCTCTGGTGTTGGTGAAGCATTATGGTAGAAACATGCAGGAAATTGTCTCAAGGACTAGATTGGCAACCAACGTTATCGAAAAAGTAACGACGTGTTATTCAGGCAGCTCGAGGTGCGATAATAATGCATTTCTGCATAAATGGCATGTTGCTTTAAACCAAGACAATCTGGTCATCATTACACCGAGTAGTGTCGCACTGATACCAGTATTGGACGGGGCCCCGATGCAGCAGTAAAATGGTGGTATCGGTATCAGTAAGTTACAAAAAATAGGGCAAC